CCAGTACGTGAAGGATGAATTTCGCAGGCATAAAAATGTTCCTTCCGATCAGGCTTTGCTCTTCCTTAAGGAATGGACGGTAGGTTATATTTTTTTCCTGATTGCAATATTTGTTCCTCCCTTTTAGCGTGGTAACTTAATTCTTTTTTTAAAGAAATTCAGGCTGAGGTTAGAATAGTTTGGATATTAACCCTTTATTTGTCGAGTCGTTCGGCATTAGCACATCACTTCAAAAAAGCCAACAGAAGGAACTGTGAAGTATTTCTAGTGATTTACTTTGTCATCCTTGACCTTTTTTTCAAATAAAGTTTGGCTGAGATAGGCTAGGAAAGGAAAAACTTGAGTTCTTCGTGATTTATCAAAATGACCAAGGCAGTTATCGGTTGATTGCAAATGACCAGGCAGTGGTCACTCCCGTCATTTTCGAATGCTTTAGCCTTTCACACTGAAATGTGAATGGTTTTGACCATTTGTTGATGATAGTTTGGTTTATAATAGTACCACCTACAGGGCAGTCTGGACGTAGTGGCTGATATTAGTCTGTTTTCTTGCATTTTATTTTCATATGTTATCAGTTTTTTTTTTTTTATCTTCACAGTGCTTCTTCCAGGAATACTGTACGTTGCTATCGAAGCAACTCTCGAGTGGAGGAATTGCGAAGGGTGTAATAGGCGCCAATTTGGATCCAACACTGCTGGAGCACTTGCATGAGGACCAGCTTTTGCAACTGTACAATTTGAAAGTGGAAGCCGAGAAGCCGAAAACTGATGTTCAGGATGTCGTGGATAAACCGAATTAGTTCTCAAAGAGTACCTGTTTTTCCCAGCGTTCCTTTTCCCGGTTATTCATAAGGAAATCAAAGAGCTCTAAGTCAGGGGAGTCTTTTTTTGAGAACAATCCTTGAAATAACTGCATTGCAGGGCAGTTTGAGGCTATGCTTAGTTACGCGCTTTTATGCCTAGTTACTGTAGAAATTGAAACTGACTGAAATTTGAACTCGATCCCAGCACCTCAATAAAATGTGTAAATAAGCCCATTATCCGTAATAAAGCTAGGTATCCCACAATAAAGGATATCCAAAAGTACGGTGGACCGAGTTGCGCGTACGTTTTCTAAAGTAAAAGTACGGTGGACTGAGTGTATACGCGTTTTGAGTGCACCTATTGGATGAAAGAGCTAACTTTATGAAACATTTACATGCGGCGATATTCGAGAAAAGCAGCCATGGATTCAGAGGAGGGTCTTAAATCTGCGTGGACGAGTATCGCATGCACCTGGAATCGACTTTGGATAGTGATGTAATCACAAGAGTCCAAGCGTGGGGTGACGAAGAGACGAAGGACCGGAAACGAGAACACCCCGAGTGATAGAAAAGAGTCCTTAAGTAAGGAAGAT